GTGTGATTCTCTTTGCCCATCAGTAACCATCCACTAAGCGAAGTCGCTTCAAAACAATTTACCAATTAATTTTTATGTTTTTTCTAGCCCTACTATGTTTGCTTGCCTCAAAAAGCAGTTGATCCTACAATAAATTTATGCCTACGATATCAGAAATAGATGCACCTGTCATTGTAGAAAGTGAATTAAGGTCCAGAGAGTTTAAGTAACTTTGCTAAGGAAACGTTGTAGAATAGGAAAAGTACGCTCCAACTCCTTTTTTCCTCATCAGGGACCATTCAGCATGCGGATCTCTGAACAAAACAGAAGCTATTAAAGCACCTAACACTTGTGCAGTGCACTCAGTGTAGGAATAGATCCTTAGGATCAGACAGGTACAGTACCTTCAATTTTAAATACAAGACAGTTTATATGAACTATGGAGGCCATCTGTTCATTTGTGTACTTGCCTGTGAGGAACTACTCTCTGATTGTATTGCTTAAGTGATCCTACCATCAGTCTCAGGGGTCTCACAACATGCTGATGTAAGTTAGTGTTGTTGCACTGGAATTCAACCTGTGATAGGAAGGTATTAAGAGGGAGCAGCATACTAAATCATATACGTTAGTGTGCAGAGTATAAAAATTAATAGAAATTACATTGTCAAGAAGCTAATAATAATAATAAAATATTGTCTATGATAGAAAATACGTCAGTTTATCTTTTAAGTGATAATCCACGTGTATTTGCTGTGCAGCTGTACAAATGCTTTATAACTGGAGACAAGTTTTCTGCAGAGACCTTGATGGTGTCCATACTCTCAACGTGTCTGAAGCACAGTAAGTCTGGCTCTTTTCCAGATTCTTTTTTCTGCCAGGTGGACTACAGCATTACATAGTTCCTGGACATCCTTTTGATAATGTGGTGTTCCTTACTGGCATTTGCACCATTTGACCATTTTTCTGTAATTTAAAGTCACGCTTCTAGATCCTCTTAATTACTCTCAGTAGGAAGGTATGTGGAGTTTTTGCTATGGATTGTCCGGGCTAGGACACAGAACGCATGTTGTTCCTTGAGACAGTATTTCAGAGCAACAGCACAGAGATCCGGGCAGGCTTAACATGTAGTTCCATATTAGAAGCCTTAAACTTTCATATCACTTCTCATTGACATTATGACAGGCTACCAGAGCAGAATCTTCATCCCTTCCATGTTAAGCATTAGTACATTAGCCCATATATTTTAAAATACAATATGTAGTATTGTCTGGGGCATCTGACCAGTCCTCTGCACATGCCTCTATAACCTCAAAGATCTGTTACCTTTGCCTTTTCCACCTCACAAGTGAGACCTGGTTACTCAAAAGAATACAATTCTACCAGGATATAATCCAATTTCAAGCAAAAATAACTGTCCATCTGATCCATAGTTTGGTGACAACAGATCCATAACCACCCTGGCACCAGTTCAACATTGTGCAAGGGGATTCAGTCCCAGTGCACCAGAATCTTCACACCCCTACCTGGCAGCATCAAATTGTTAATCAAATTGCCCCTGTTGACTCACCCTGCATGGGAAACTTCCACAGGAGGATCTTCTGCCTACCAGCTTTCACATCTGCTCGTTACTAAATTCTGAACAGAATCACTGCAAGAAGGATCATGTAAGCAAACACAACTGATTTTTATCTGCTTCAGCATCCTCCTCTTTCCTTCAAATTGCAAAAGACACATTTTTATGTTTCTAAAGTGTATCACCTACATAGTATCACTTTTGTTTTACAAATAATTAAAGGTCAACTCAGACTTGCTGCAGCACTAAATACTGTCGGGGCGCTGATCATCCCTGGATGCAACTCTGTATCCCTGTACTGGTCTCAACAGCAGGCTGGTGAAGGGACAAGCAAGAATCAGAATCCACTCCACACGTTCTTTAGAACCTGCAAGAATCTTTGCATTTCAATGCATGTTTTGGACATGACACACATTGTGCGGGTCTTCTTCCCATCATGATGACAAATCTGCCTAACCTTGCATGTGATGCCTCTGTATGATGCCTCAAGCCAATCTATCACTAATAAGTTTTCAAGTTTGGCTTCCCCACCGTACAATTTACACCTTCACACTTATCTATGCATGATTAATATTCCCCTTCATAGTTCTGTCTCATGAGATATAACATTACCATGGTCCTTTCAGCCTACACGGGAATGCTTTTAGACCTCACTTACCTCATCATAGTATGTGGCACCCGTACAATACTCATGGGCATGACTTTGCAAGTTCACAAAAGAAAGGTTGTTCCCAAACCTCACAGAAGCCAGAACAGCATTCACTGTGGAAAAGATGCTGTAACCCAATCAAAAGACATATTACAGCATTGTGCTGACAAAACCTCAGCTGTTTTTTTTTCAGTCTGTGAGGTGGTGCAGCATCCCTCCACATCTTCTGGGTGATCTTTTCAAACTATTGCATTTACAGAAAAATCCACCTATCACTGATCCATCTTCTAGTTATCACTGATACCTTTGTGGAAAGACTGACTTCTTTTTCATACTAGACTGAGTGGGATATAGTCAAAGTTCTATATGACTATTCCAGAATGAGGATCAAATTTTTGGCTTCAAATATGTAAAAAAATTGTTAGTCCTTTTAACTCCTACATGTTTAGTGAATATTGTTCCTTGTTCTCTAGTTAGGAAGAACTGTCTGGATATTCCTTTTCACTCTGATCTGGAAGTTCTGGCTGTACTATGACAAAACAGCAAGTAAAGATGAAATGATATTGGTATTCATCATGTTCACTAACTGCTAAGGAATCAAAGATGTTTTGTTTCTTATGGCCTCACTAACTCTTATTTCCTGCAGGTACCACCCTTCTCATTCTCAGAGTCAAAGTGGTTCTCTGTTTATAAAATTGGTGAGACCCTTTAGTCTGACCCTCTGGAACAATTTGTGTTGATTGAAACAAATGGTCTTTACCAATACACAAGTTTTAAACAGTCTGGAAGCTGTGTCAATGCCTTTTATGGTATTGATAAAGTTACAGAGCCCTTTTATCATCAGAGCACCAGAACTCAGGCTACATCACTATGCCCGTGAAGAAATACCTCTGTAGCTGCATCTGCTAAGCAGTCCTATGGAATGTTATCTATAGATAAGACTTGAAGATCATTTGACAGAGTGGTCTTTAAGTGGTACAGCTGCTATGCAAAGGCCCTTACCCCATTTCCATTTAAGCATTTGTTGAACTACTGCTTGGAGTCACCTACTGCAAGAAGAGGTATGCAGACAGAAAGATAAGCCACATGATGAGATACACAATCAACAGGGAAACCTATTTCCTCCATTACTTATCCACTATCTAGCTTGAATCCTTTACCATCATGTAAAATCTTGTAATTAGGAGACGCTCTCTACCATGTGTGCTCATAACTGTCGCAGGATGGAAGGTGAGGCTTGAGCTCACCCCAATGGACACTGCAAAGATTTTAAAAAAAACAAAACAAAACAAACCCAAACAAAGTTCACTATTGGGATATACATGAAAACATATGTAAACTATGATTCAACAATACAAAACAAAAAAATACCCAAATTACAAAACACCGCAGCACAAGCACGACACTTGCCCATCTACTCACCTGCAGGTCTTCTAAACAGCAAAACTACCATCTACTATTTTAGAGACTATTTTGTCAAGCACAAACCCTTGGAACAGTTATTTGCACTCTTATGTATAATAATGCTGCTGCTTATGGAAGAGTAGACAGAGCCATAAACAAGGGAATAGCATTCTCCTTCTCTTCCGTTATTGCCTTTTTGGCATTAATTATTCAATTCCTAGTGTTTACAGTTTGGCACCTTTATTATGTTCTGCATAGTAACTCACCTGCAAAGGTCTTTGTGGAAAGCTATTCCTGCCACAGGATAACTGCCATCAGAACAAGTGTTCATAAACAAGTCACCTATTTTCTGTTTAGCTCCCAGAAGTGCCTCTCTGCATGATCAGATGAAAACAATTGCCAGCACAAGGGAGCAGCAGTGAAGTAAATCCAGGATTTGGGAGTGCCCCTTTCCTAGTTATTAGCCGTCGTTAGTTCAGCTTACAAAAGCAGCTGCATGTTTAGAACTGGAGTGTCTGTCAATTCACACAGCATAACTAACTGAGCCAAGTTACGGGCAAAGACAGAACGTCAGCAGTAATGGGTAGGAATCAAAAAGCAAAACAGTAATTGCTAAGCAAAAAGTTCTAAAAATATCATACTTGCATAGCAAAGAATTACAAAACAGTGTGGCCAAACAATCTACATTGGATTTTGACCTCCTTTTTGCAAGATAGGCTGAAGAAGTTAACGCAACAAAAGAAGGACCTATTTGAACTGAACATTTTTGTCAAATGCAGCCACAGTGAAAGGAAAACAAAGTGGGTTCTACACATTTATGTGATACACAATGATTTCTGAGAAATATAATTTATTTCTAATTTCTCCCTGTGGCTGTTCTCCTGATCAGGTTTAGATTTCAGAAGATATTTCATTTATCCTGAACTCAGGTAACTGCTTAAGGCAGCATAACCCATGTAAACAATATTAATGCAAATACATTGTTGCCTTCTCCCTTTCCTACTTCCTGATTATTTCCTCTACACTGGGAAGGATCCTCTACTCAGCATTCATCCAAGCAAAGACAAGTTGCTCACTGCCTTCATGAAGTTTAATAATACATAAAGTTTCTTCTATTTATTGAATCCCTTAGAGCAACTTCTTCATTCTCAATTTCTTTGCTGTCAGTATCAAAACTTGCAGTGTAATATGAGATGGAAGTATAAACTCCGAGGGAAGTTGTCTTCCTAGTTAGGTCACTCACAAACACGTACCTCTAACAAACAACCTCCAATATTTACAGTGAGTTAACACTTCAGCCTTAGTATAATTAAGGTAAAATTCAATCAGCAATGAGACCCAAATCCAGTCTTAATTATTTTACTACCTCTTCCTCATTCCTTCTAGAGGACAAACCTGGTTTGCAGATGATTAAGATGGTATGCAATGGAGGAAGCTCGGCCGCCAGAATCCCTAGTCATTTATCACAGAAGAGATCCAAAAATAGATGGGCTCATTCAGAATTAAAACCTTTTCTCCTCATTTACATGGGGAAGGACTACAATGCAAAGTGACACCAAAATCTGAGGAGGAAAAATGAAGTGAAAAATAAGTCAGAAACAAGACTCAATACATGACCACCCACAAAAAACCCCAAACAGCCAAGAGCAACAGACATGGCTCATAACTTCCTCTCTTTCCCTCAGAGAAACCCAACTTGTATGTATCATTTAACAAGCAGTAATGAGCCCTATGCAACTTCGCTTTGTCTCAGACATACTACCACCTTGGCCAGTGCCTGATGCTGGATAATAAAGAGAACTTCCAAACCCATGCATATATAAATCAGTTTTGATACATAATATGGCTTCATAACGTAGTCAGAATCTCAACAGGCCCAATGAAAATCCTAGAATAGGAACTTCCAACTGAGCACTCCTGAAAGACATTCCAGCACCATCCTAATTCCACATAAAGGGTACGTACGAATAAATCCTGTGAAGGTGTTACTATATGCTCAGCTCCAAGTCAAAAGACGCTGACATACATCTCTGATGTGCTATAAATTGAGGATGATAAAGAGATTAGACAGTTGTGTTTGTAACAAGTGAGGTAATCAAAATAAAGGTACAAGGGCACCATGGTTTTAGCAGTGAATGCTTGTTCACAACTACTGTGTAATTGCTCATTCTTTATTTCCTGAGCACCCACCTTGACACCTTGGATCCGATCAGCAGAGCCAAGTGCCCACTGATGTAAATGGGTATGTATGCTAAATATATAAGTACTTTCCTATGTTTAGTGTTCTTAGAAACTGTACTCTTGTGATACTAAATTGGACATCCAAATTTAGTACTTCTGACCTCTATTTTAAGGTTTTGATCATTAAGTTGACATTGCCTAGATAGGTTCCTGGAAGAGGCTGGAGTCTATGTAGGGAGGGAAAGAGATAATTTTATTAAATCTATTACCTCCGTGCATACAAAAGGCAGCAATTCTTTGTGCTTGGTTTAAGAACTAGTATTTCTTGATATAGTTTGTCTTCATGACTTCGTATGGAAAACGTATCACTGATGCAGAAGTTACTAGAGAAGCCAAAGGTTTGAGTGATTCAGTAAGGAAAAGAAGTTTATCAGAGCAGGTTTAGAGACAAATATTCATTGCTCAATTTTGCTAAAACAAGGTAACGGCATCAAAATGGCTGCTACTTACAATACTGGTATTATCGATATGCCATTAAAACATTTAATGTTTCCTTCCCTGAATCTCTAAGACCTATTTTCCAGAGAACCCAAACAGTTTATTTGGGAGCATGGTCTCCTACCTTTTCGCTATTCTACAAAACATAACGGGGAGCCAGGTACTCGCAGTTTGCAGGGACTGGAGTAACAAATTACTTTTTTATATTCATTTAGTATCAGATCACTTTTAATTCATGCCAGGGTCAGTTAAACATGCAAATGTTTATTCACAATATCTGAAACAGATAACAAGTTTGTAAAGGCATAGATCAGGGAAAACAAAGAAAAAAAACATACTCTTCTGAAGTTAAATTATAGAAGTTTTGGTTTCTTCCTGTCAGGATGCCTTGCACAGATTTTCCTAATTATCCATCTTTTTAAGTGACTATGTTCTTTCACATACTCACCCCTCAGACTAGACTGCAAGCTTTATGGAAAACCTTTATCTTTAGACTATTGCTACACCACTGCTGCTACATTTACCACAAGCTGGCAGTCTGGAGCCTTCTCTAGGAATCAGTTACTTACTCTTTCCTTGCCCGTCACCAGATCAGCACCCCCTCTTTGTTTTATTCCTCATATTACGTGGTTGCTTGTGAAAAGACTTTCTGGCCCCAGCTTTGCTCAGATTTTTAAGACCTAATTTCTTGAGTTTCCGGTGTAATTTTGTAAAACGGAAAGAAGCTCCAGTTATTTCACTCAATCTGTTATATACATCTGCAGATTATATAGAGAATCACTGATTGGTTCTCAAGCCACATAAAAGATAATTTAAAGAAATAATCAATTTTCATTAATCTCATCTTTCCCTAACCATTAAGGAAATTTGCAGAATAGGATGTATGAAAAAATAAAGAGGTATGGAGAGGTGCATACAGAAACAGTAACATGCAGTGAGAAAGCACAAAATTCACTTCCAGTCTTTTTTTAAATTACTCTAAAATTTTCAACTACAATTTGCAAAACTCTTCAAAATCATAGCTGTTAAAAAAGGACAGTTAACAGAACTAGATATTCTAATATTATCAGGCTTTCCATAATGTGATAAGTGTAACTATGTCATTCCAAGCAAAATTCAATATAACTGATGCAATTATGTAATTCTCTAAAAGATGCTTTATGAAGTGACATCTTTCTATTATTATTGCTGTTGTTGCTGCTATTATTGTTAATATTGTTATTATTGTTTTCATTATTATGTGTTAAATAATTACCATAATATCCTGTCAACAGTCTGATGACTCATATCTTTATCTCTCACATCTCTATTACTCAGTCTAGTAGGTAGATCTGGCCAAGACCAAAATTAATTTTTAAGTAGTTGTATTCATATAAATGTACTTTGTAACAGTGGAAACTGAGCAAGTCCAAGGAGTTTCACCTCATATTACTTTAGCCTCAGTTGCTTGGCCTCAATCATCTATAGTAGCTGACATATATACTATATATACAGCATTGTGTATACTCACACACAGATACAGTTCAACTGTATCAATAAAAAGAAACTGTAAATTAAAAAGTTGTAATAAGGAACAAAGAAGGACTGCTAGCACACAGTGTAATGACTATTTTGTGGGGACTTAAAGTAGTGTATGAATTAAAAAAGAACTTGATGTGATATTTCCAAGGGAAGTATTAGACATAACAGATCATTTACTTCATATTAGCTGGCACCATCCATTTAGAAAACCACACCAGTACTTAAGTACAGACATACAAGTACTATGGAAAAATGTTCAAAAGCTCCACTATTTCAAATCAACTGATTTCAAATGATTCAATACTAACTGATTTTCTTCATATGCTGCCATATATCCAACCAAAATATTTTTACTAAATCTGTTAAAATTAAAAAACCCACAACCAATTAACTGATAAGAACAACTCAGATCAAAAACCAAGTACTTCCTTAAGCACTATTTGTCTAAATATTGTCTTAATGTAAATTTTAACACTGTTTCCAAACCAGTACTGTTAATGTTTTCTCTTGTTTTCACTCGCAAGGATAAAAGTGAATTATTATATATAATGACACCTAAGCCAAAGCAGCAGAAATCTATGACTGCCATTGGGAATTTGACAACAAATGTCAAATTCATAACAGACCACATCTTACTCAACTCTCTCTAGAAAAGACATACATCCAAAGAATCCAAGAAATCACCCTTCTTCACCCTCACTCCACCTAAAAGGCCTGGATCACTCATCCCATTGACAACCTTGACTAACGTTTCTCAGTCGGAGAAGACAACCACCGACCTACAAGTAGACACCAAAACTGAAGGAGCTTTATCCAGAGCAAGGCCTTAAGCACGTAGCTGGTCACTGCTTCCCTGAACCGCTGCAGTGCATTGCCACCACCCCTGAACGTTCTTCCCTGGGACGGCTGCGCGGGTGGGACTCAAGTGCCACGAGAAGGGCTGCTCCCGAGGCAGACCGAGCACAGCAAAACAGCACCCAGAACCAAACACGCTGTGCACTAAACCGCGAACACACATCAAGGTGGGTCCCTTTAAATACAAACACGCGTAATGGAGGGTAAGCTCATGACAAGGCGAGGGCTGCGCTCAGAGCAGCCTGCCCGTGCCTGCTCCAGCGTAGCGATGCCCAGCAAGGCCTCTCCGCACCCGGCCCATGGGGACTTCGGGGCGCCCGCCTGCGGCCTCCCGGGGAAGGCACAGCCGGCCAGGTAGAGGCCCCAGCGGCCCTCCCAGGCCTGAAGCACCGCAGGAACCGCCCCGGCCCCAGCCCACCACCCTCAGAGCCGCCGAAGCCACTGCCTTCAACCGGCCCAGGACCGCGGCGGGCGGCAGCGCTGAATGAGGCCGTTGCCACCGGCCCTGGGCGGCGCGGCCCAAGGCGGCCATTTTGCGGCCGCGGCGCGCTGACATGTCGCGCGCCGTGCGTGGCACCGCCCCCCGCGCCTGCGCCGCGCGCCCCGCGGCGGCCGAGCCGGGGCAGCTGCCGAGCGCCGCGGCGGCGGCCGAGACAAAGCGCCGGGTAATGAATGGGACGGGCCCGCCCGGCCCTTCCTCTTAACTCCTTCGGGCCCGGCCGGGCGGCGGCAGCGGCCACTTTCGGCTTCCCCCGCGGCGGCCGCCCGGGGAGGTGAGTGGCAGCGTTCGGGCACCGGGAGGGCGCCGGGTGGGGCGGTCCGGTCCGGTCCGGTCCGGTCGCTGCTGCCCCGGTCCCGCCGCTCCCCCCGCGCCCGCCGCCGTGTTTGGCCTCGGCGGCCTCGGTGCCTTGTGCGGCCGCGGGCCCGCACCCTGGGCCCGGCGCCGCGTCCCGGCCGGGAGCGCCCGCGGGACAGCGCCGCCAGGCCGGGCAGAGGGCGTGTGGCGGTGGGGCGGCGCAGGGAGCCGGGAACCAGGCCCGCGGTGCCGGTTCCATTGTCTGCGGGGCCCTGCGGGGGGCCCGGCCGGTCCGGCGGGCGGAGGTCGCCGGTGCCCAGGGACTTGAGGACCCGGCGCTGGCCGGGCCGCCCTAGGGGCTCCATCGCCCCGCCTGCCCTGGCGCCTGCCGCGCCCCGAGCACGGAGCCCGCTCGGCTTTGTGTGCGGGCCGGGCCGGCGGGACCCGCCGGGGCTTCGCCCCCGGGCCCCCCTGGCGGGGCCGCGGCAGCTGAGCCCGCGGAAGGAGCGGGGGCCATGTGGCCGCTGCCACCCCGATCCAAGATGGCCCGGCAGCCCGGAGCGGGGATCTCACCGGCCCCCGCACGGTGCGGACCGGCCCTGCCCGGGCACGGCGGGCCGCTCGGGCATAGGGTCTCTGGTCGGGCGCTGGAAAGCCTCGGAAATCCCAAAAAGTGTTTCCCCCCGAGAACACGGGACACGAGGTGGGCAGGCGCCCGCCAGGGCTTCGGCCGCCGCGTAAACACCGCGTCTGTGCGTGTGTGCGGGGAGGCTCCAGTCCTGTCCCTCTTGAGCAGAGTCGCTCAAGAGAGATGCCTGGGAAAAGCGCAGGATTTAGCTTTCGTGTACTGCTGCTCTCGTTTTCTATTTGGGGCGTGGTAATTTTGCTTAAAAATGTCTTCTGTAACTCCTGGACCTACTCAGAGATAGCTGCCTATGTTAGAGTGGCTGTGTTAGAATGCATGCTGGATTCCAGAGGGTGTCCGATACACTTAAAGTTGTTTACTGCACGTACAGCCTACTGAAAGTGTAAAAACACTTATTATTGCAATGAAAGGTAAAAGGCCTTTTTTTTTTTTTTGCATTAATGGTCATTCTACTTATCATTCCTAAGTTTAGTAGAGTTTGGCTTTGCAGTGTAGAGATCTTTCTCTCTGGCACTTACATGTTGGAAGCGGTCGTGTCTTGTTTCTGGGGGGTATCTTTGAGAGATTTCAGTAATTTAGCCTGAGCTGTCATGCTACAATTGTAATGCCAAGTAGAGAAAGCCTTTCAAGCCCCCATAACATGAATGTACTTCTCAGACCTGCTTTAGGTGGTGTCGTCTGTAAGACCCACTCTGCATGTGCATGTGTTTTGCTTTTCAAGTGGGTGAGCATAGCTCTTTTCTTCTAAAGGTTATTTCCAGTAATGCAGCGTTTCACTTAAAGCACAGATGTGCACTCTTGGGAGGATGTTCGTGGGGGAGTGAAGTCTGGAAGACTTCATCAGCGATCCCCGAGATACCACATTGCTCCTAGGAAGCCTGTGTTTGTACAATACTGGGAAGGGGCATTCTAGTTATTATTTACTATGGAGATGGGTTTTGCAGAGGAAGAAGTCTTGTGTCTTTTCACTGTATGTTAAAAGCAGCGTAAATTCTTTTGTGGACTATTAGAAACTTGAGTGCTGTTTGCTAGGTATAAGACCAACAGGCAAGGTGCTGACAGTTTTCATATAGTTGAATATCTATCTACTTTGGTACTTAGTGTTGCAAGTACCTTCCAACTTTCACAGGTATTGAGGAATTTATTCCATAGAAGTTCTCCAGAGCAGTCAAATGTAAGAATTGATTGAGAATAAGTAAAATGAAAGTAAAACAAAATATCTAAACTAAGTGTTTCAGAGAAAAGTTTTCTAAACTTATGTACTTTTGAATAACAATGACTCTTTTACTTCTGGTGGTGTACCACCCCCCCATCCTCGTGACTTCTCTGCTCACTTGGAAGCTCCTGATAAGCCCTGTCCGAACGGGCTGAATGGTGAAGCGTCCCTTGATCGTACCAGCTGGGCCACGAGGCACTCCCTGATCTTACCAGGAGCTCTGGCATGGTAAAGGTGGGAAACAAAGGATAAGCAATTATCCTTTGTAGCCTTGGTAAACCATTTACCTGAATGGTAGCCCAAGTGGAACGGTACCATTGTTACCGCACTTTGGGTAAAAAAGCCCAGTACTTACTGGCTTGGTTTATGGCCAGGATGGAAACTTACTGATGACCAAAGTCAATCATCTTGCGACCCTATAAACAGCCCTCCTAAGTGAGGCCCTTTGTGCTCTACCGGACCCCAGTGGGCTGTGCCAGCACCTTCCTCTGGTGGGACACCTCTCAGAGCTCACAAACCCTCAAGTCTGATACTCAAAGGACTGTCTCCCCCTCCCCTCCATCACCATGTTCCTCAAGGTGCAGCCCTTGCCTATGGGGAAATGCAAAGGGCTTTGAAGTATTTCACTGAAATTGAGGGGACTTTTTAATAGGTACCTTTACACACATAGAAATAGCTGTACACATTGTCTTACCTTTGTGTGTGTGAATTGATTATAGTAGGAATTTTACTCTTTCAAATCTGTAGTTAAATCATTGTTATAATTGCAATAAAATTTATCAAATTGCTTTGTAAATGTTAAAGTACTGAATGAATAAGTGCTGCTAAACCCTTTTTCATGCTTATCTTTGCAAGCATATCCTTTGCACTCTTACCCTCTTTTGCATTCCCAGCTTTTGTGTAAATCATTCCAAATTACTTCTTATTTGATCTTCCTTTGTGTGCTTTAGTCTGTGTAGTAAGTAGTAGAGTGAGCTTTGCCATCAAACTCTGTAAAGTTGTGTTTTCATATATTGATATTAAACCCTGCTTTTGCCAGTACCTTTGACGGTGTTTCTTTAAGCAGCCAAACCACTCACTCTTGGCATCTATATAAAGCCAAATTGTGACAGGTACAGCATACACATTGATAATGTGAAAAGCAAAGTATAGAACAGCAAAAGGCTAGACAGGTGATGAGCTTAGCCGAATGTTTGCTGTCTTTGTTACCTTGTCTTCTACACCCTCTCTCTGATGTTTTCACCTATTAAGGCTCATTTTAAACAAAGACAGTAAATGTCCTGAGCAAGAATTGTGTTTGCAGAACAACCAGTGTCAAAGGTGGTTAGTGCAGAGGGGGTCTGCTTCAGAAGGCATAACACATCACTAAGACTTAAACAGGGCCTTTGAAGATACAGAACTCTGCACTTTTTTTTGAAATTGTCCATCCACTGAAGTAGAATATCCACCTGTCAAATATTTTTAAAAACAAGGTATTACAAAAGGAAGTGTCCTTTGAACCTATTGGGTCTTTCTGTTTTCTTCTCCCTTTTTTCTTGGAATTTGTTCTCTTCTAGTTTTTAGAACCCTAAATGCATTAACTTCTTAGAAATTTTTTTTTTTACTCTGAGAAATTTTGAGTTAAAGAATGCACATGTTTTATCTCCCAACAGTTTGCTGCATTTTACCACCACTTACAGTGAAGACTGCGTAGAGGAGATTTTGTAAATCCTGGTTTTTTGCAGCTTGCTTATAATTTTATGAGTTCTTATCTTCAAAGTGAGCATATTGTGCTATAGGGTTGCCACTAGTGTACAGTTAAAATAATCAGCTTTATTCAAATAGCATGATGATACATATATATTGGCTTAGGCTTATATAAGAAACAGTATTGTAGATAGTTTAGTGGGGAATATTGCAAAAATACAGAGCAGGATGTTTAACTCATCTTCACTACTGACATATTTTCCCTAAGTAGGGACAATCTAGGTATTTTAGTAGTATTGGCATAAATTAATGTAATTTACATAATATTATCTCTTGTAGTGTACACTTTCAAAACAGATTTCCCAAAGAGAGCGTTCTCACGTGGAAGTTGTGTATTGTTTTCTGCACATTTTTGACTGTTTATTTTGCATTTGCTACTGGCAACTTCAGTATTGGTCAATTCACAACTATGGAATTGTTCGATTTCAGTCAATTAGTGAAAAAATTGAGTAGTTTCTATGGCCTAAAGGTAGTTTTCAAGTGAAATCCAGAGTTTAAAGCTCATATGTCAAGAGGCAAGAACAACTAAAGCTTTTATTGTGGGCTTTTTTGGTTTGGGTTTGTTTTTTGTTTTTTTTTCCACCGAAGTGAAGGAAATTCTCTCCTAAATTAGTGTGATACATAGTTTAACCATGGTAGTATTGCTGTAGGTTTGTTTGGGTTTTTGTTTGTTGGTTTTTTTTTTGTGATGGGATAGTTCACAATATGATGGGCTGTTAAAGCAACAACAGGGAGACAGCTTGATTTATTTTCATTCAAGTGTGATAATTCAGAATAGTGATTTTTTTTTTATATTGAAAGGTGAAGTATCAGTCTTTCCTATAATCTCTTTAAGACTGGTTTTCAGTGGATGTTGACATAAGAAATATTATTATATTACTATAATCTTTATATAAACTTGCAACCTGTGTGCTCTCTTTAACAATTACTGCACAGTTGTGTCCCTTCCATCTCTCACCTCTTTCCCTTTCTTTACTGTTTAAGGACATGTAGGGTTGGACGATCCCTCTCTGAAGGTGTAGAGCATTGCTAGTCCATTGTTACAGCTGCCCGAAAGTATGTTTGATTCCATATTTTTTTTTTGAGTCATGTCTGTTAGTTTGCCTTCACTAGTGTCATA